CACAACTGGGTAGAGGCGAAGCGTCTCGTTCAAGACGTGCTGGAGGTATTTCATGTTCTTGAGGTCTTCATAGGTGGGTGTGCGGTCGAGGCCAACCTTGTCGATGATTTCCTGGCGCAATTTGGCGGTGATGGTCGGGTCGAGAGAGAGGTGGTAGATTGCCCATGTTAGGGTGCAAGCGGTCGTGTCACGGCCGGCGAGCAGGATTGAAACAAGTTGGTCGCGGAGTGTCTGGCGATCGCGTGTGTAGCCAGCAATAGCGTGCAGAAAGGTGTAGCCCTCGTCGTGATTGGTCTTCTGTTCGAGTTCCTTGTCCGATAGACTAAGGGCTTCTTCGATGTAGCGGTCTACAAAGTCGTTGATTTTCTTGATCGAGTCGTAGAAACCCATGCGCTGACGGGGGACTAGCCAGTTTAGAGGTCTATTGTGAGATTAGCTAGGAAACCTTGACACGAATACCGGACTGCTTACCCAACTCGAGCGATCAGACTTTGTACACGTTGTGCATTGCCGAAGGCATCTGCAAACACTGTTTGTGGGTTTTGAAGGCTGTCAACACTAGTGCCCTGTGGTACCAAAGTCAGCGGTCGTCTCAGCGTAGGAGAATTAAGGCTTAACTCACCAAAAGGAAATGTGTAGCAGCATCCAGTGTGAACCGGAACATCATGTCGAGCGTATCGATCTCTTGACCCTGTCCAATCTTTGATATCATGACCTGAATGTGCTCCTCGAAGATTTCGATGTCGCTCAAACGATCCTTCACAAATTGAGGTCGAATCAACTGTCTTGAATTGTGCCACAGCTGACCGTCCGTGGTGAAGATGCCGTTGCCCAAAAAGGCATGCCAGTCCTTCCTGAACTGCTCGCCCTTGCCATAATCCTTGAACTGTGTCGCCAAAATCGCCTTAATGTTCTCTGGTTCAGCGGTCAAGATGACTCTTTCTCCAATGCCAGCTTCAACTGTATATTGACCAGGTAGAGCGTATTTCTTGAACATGCTGGTCCAGTTCTCGTGCAACAGGTCGTTTTTTGCAGCGGAGATCATGTCGTATGCCAAGTCTACACTCCACGGTAGGTATGTTTTTCGGACAGGGCCTCGAGCGCCCAATTTACGGATTCGAGCATCTTTGTGGATTCTGACTGCGGTGTTGTAGACGAAATACAAGACACCAGCAGCCACGATCAGGTAAGGTAGCGGTATGTCGTTGTTTGCGATGTGGACCATTTTGGATTATTGGAGGTTGTGTCGATACCACGTTCAGAGGCACGCCATGCATAAGTAGTCCATGGCGCACATGGCATACGCGTGCCGCCTGTTTCGTAGAACGTTCGACTCCACTATGGGCTCGGCGGACCAAGTTGTCCGACTCGTACAGTAGGCATCCTTCGTGTACCGCGGGGTTCTCGTCCAATGCGCTGCAGCCGATCAACACGCAAGGATGTGTCCCGCGCAATTTCGCTGCTGTCTGCTTGCTTGTTGTGGAAAATAGAGTCTTCATGTGCGCGCAAGGCTACCTCGGTATCACAGAAAATCGCATCGGCACCGCAAATTTTGCTGCTTCCGACATAGCAACCTGAGCTAGTTGCTCGCGTGGAAAGGTGCTGCGGCAGTCCTGCTTCGTGTGCGTTCGCGAAGCGGGGAAGGCCGTCGATGATGTCGAGCTTTCTTTGTTTGTGGGATGGTCGAATTATCGGAAGTCTTGGCCGCCGAAAAGGCCGACATGGTGGTGTGCATCCTGCAACGTACAAATGCTAGAGGACATACGAGTGATCATGATCCTCTGCTGTGAGGACGGCGTCATTTTTTTCCCGATTTCCGAAAAATCAACTTTTATGATGTCGTTTGACGCGCACATGACGATGCTTCACCGACCTCGGGACCTCAAATAGCAGCCCGTCAACGGCGAACTCGTATGATACATGCTCTTCGAAGCGTCTGGTGTAATGTCGCTGTCTAAAAGTCCGATATGGCTTGTTCCGCCGTGGTGCAACAGGCAACGGAGCTTGGCCCATTATTAAGGTTCAAGGTCCCAAGGAATAAAGCAACACCACAAAACTTTCTTGGCGATGGAGATACAGTCACGACAGACGGAAGTCCGAATCACCCTCGTAGTTCGGCTCGAGATGCATGATTCCATGACTGTGATGCAAGGACGATCAGTGAGGGCAAAGAACCTGATTGGACTCAAATCATATGGAGGAAGGGCTTTTGGTGAGAACGTCCTAGGTACGAGTTGTCGTGTGCAGAGGAGGAGTATGTTCCTGGCGCAAAGGCAGGTATTGGTTGCGACACAACAACCTTTGATCACGCGGACTACGCTATTGAGTGCCCTTATGGTGCAGTATACATTTTTAACATGCTCAAATGCAGCAATTCGATCGTAGTGTCAATTCAGACGACCTGCTCCTGACTGGAAAGGACAGCGTTCCCAAGGCGATGCGTGTGTCTTCCACCTCAACATGCTCCATGTGTGTTTCCTATCTCTACCTAAGCTTTGAATTGGTGTATAGATGCGTTAAGCTTGTCAAATAAGGATACAGTTTAGGAGTACCAACACGCTGCTTGTCAGAGCCTTCCACACCGGGGCTAAAAAATTAAGAGCTGGACAGCTCATCATAAGTAAAAGTAAGCTGTCGAAAGGACAATGGCCCACTGCAGCGCTTCTAGGGCTGCAAAAAATGACTCAAGGGAGGCTCGAACTCCCGACCTTCAGTGTGTTAGACTGACGTGATAACCAACTACACCATCGAGCCCGGTTTGATGACAAAGGACAATTTTACATATAATATATAGTTAGAGTATCACCCAGCAGTGCCGCAAATTGGTGCACTGAGTATGATCACTGGTCGAAAGCCTGATGGAGGGAGGGGTGGTTACGGCTAGTGGGGCTTGTGCAATGCATCCGAGCGGCACCGGAGCGAAAGCCGACCAGGAATCGAGCCAGGTGCATGCGACTCCAAAGCTGCTGCACGTTCGCTCAAGGATTACATTTGACAATCTAGACCTTGGGGTGCGCAACTACTCCAGTCTTGACGCTCACACGCTCCAAATTTGGCAATCGCGAGCCCCACGTCATCCCGCGCACGTCAAACATTTCCATCGACAGGCGTGTACCAAAGCACCACAAATACAATTCGACCGCGTTAGGACTGCAACGATGTCTACCTCAGACGACCTCACGAAGTTGCCCACGCCGCCGGCGTGCATAGCGGACTTTTGCATTATACCGCTCGGCACCCCCACGGCCTCAGTGTCGAAAGAGGTTGCACAAGTGCAGCGGCTTCTGAAAAAGAGTGGGCTGAGTTATTCCATGCATTCTGCTGGGACTACTGTTGGTACGTAAAGTTACGCGTTTGGAGTGTGTCATTGTACGGCATCATGAAGTGGATTTCCCACAGAGACAAGGCACATGCTAACGAGTCCTATCTAGAGGGCTCTTGGGACGATGTCATGAAGGTCATTGGACAATGCCATGCTCTGCTGCATCAAAACGGCGTCGTCAGGATCCAGAGCGACATCAGGGTGGGGTCAAGGACGGACAAGAAGCAAGGTTTTCAGGACAAGGTGGACGCCGTGGAGAAGTTGCTGAAGGAAGAGGAGTGAAAGGTGTGCTGGACTGAGTGTGCGCGGCCGAGAGGGCGTATCACGATATGTAGTGGGGTACACACATTTTTGCATTCTTGGTACACCATAGGACTAGAGTACTCGCAATTGCTTGGATTTCCGACCACGCGACCATCCCACATAGTAGTACACGAGATACTCAGAGTCATACTAGTTTACAGCGAGAATGGCCCGAGCCCAGCCACCTTCATAGTCTACCACATCGAGCAAGATCGAGATTTGGGAATATGTTTCCGATCATTGTGGGACTAACCGCCAACAATGCCTGCCATGTAAGTGTTTCACATGTGCATGTATCCTCCTGCCCCGGAGCAAGGGCGCGTCACCTTGCGCCTCTCACGGGCAAGTCTGGACCAAGTGCCAGTCGCACACGTACCTCTTCCCCCACAGGATCCTCCTGCTTGAGAGATGCCCTATCTTAGGACCATGGCCAGCGTATTCCCATTGGATGAGGTTGCTCGACTACGCTGGAGAAACTGGGGTAGCCGGCTTTTACTCCTCACCCGAAGACGCAAGGGTGGCTTCGTGGCTTGAGCTTGTTAGCAAAAATTTCAGAGCGGTGTGTGCGGACTAGGATACGCGATACGGGAGAGCGGGAGATTGCGGAGTGTGTATTGTTGTTGGTCGAGCAGGACGTTGTTGTGACCAAAGCTTGGACGAACACTGCAATCTCTCGACTGTCAATAGTATTGTACTTGACCGCGATGAGAGCCGTCCGTAGATCAAAGACTGAAGACTTGCTGAAGATCATCATCACAAGCTACTGCAGTTGAGCAGACCCGACAGATTTACCGCCCTGACTACTTTCAGACGAAGTGGGTACCTGACAGGCGGTGAAGCACGGTCGCGCGCACGAAAAGTTGGCGTGGACCTGCATCCTTCACAAGCGAAAGCGTGCCAGCCGCCCGATCGTCCGAAAATCCCCATCACCTCACTCCACCTTCACCAGACTCGACTCGACCTGAGCCCTACTGTCCGAGACAACTCAGCACCTGACGTAGTGATTATTTCGAGCAACGAATCCCGGCGCGGTCGCATGGGAAATCCACGAGGCAACGGAAGGCATGCACGCGACATCATTCCCAGCAAGCCAAGCCACACAACTACCCGCCCTTGTCACTGAATCCGCAACACCACGCTCTCCCGCTGAGCACCGCCAGCAACCATGGCCTTCAACTTCAACTGGTCGCCGCTGATGGCGGACACGTCGCGTGCGCGCGATATGCTCACCACAGCGCTGAACAAATCGCCCAAACCGCCGATCATCGTCGACGACATCATCGTCACCGAACTGAACCTTGGCACGACACCACCCGAATTGGAGATCTTGGAGATTGGCGATCTCGCAGAGGACAGATTCCGGGGCATTTTCAAGATGTCGTATACTGGTGATGCGTTTTTGACGCTCAAAACCAAGGTGCAGGCGAATCCGCTGAAAACGTACCTATCGAATAAACCGGGACTTTGGCATCACCACAACCCCTGGCTGCATCTTCGGGGTTGACGATACCGCCTGCCAAATTACGCTGTCGAATATTAGAATTGTCCGGATTTCGTTATTCTGGTCTTTTCGAAGCAAAAGGGCTTGACGTTGGCCAGTTACAGGAATGACCCGCTAGAGTCGCTGAAGGTGTCGTCCACCTTTGACTCGATACCGTTCGTGCGAGACTACCTCCAGAAGGAGATTGAGGGGCAGCTCCGCGTGCTTTTTATGGAAGATCTGCCGGCTATTATACATCGACTGTCGCTGCGATTGTGGTCACCCGAGTATCAAGCAGAAGAGAGGCTCGAAGGCAACAACGACGATACCGTACCGATCGATCCCCTCGCGACGCCACCCCAAGATGCCGTCGATGCATTCGGCAACCCTCTGAACGAATCGCAGATATCCGCCTTGACGCTGGACACGAGTGGCGAGGTACATGCGTCATTCTCGCAGAAGAACATTCTGCGGTTGGCAGCACTGTCCGAGTCGCAACACACTCTATCGCTCTTCACACCTGGCATACGCGATGCTGTCTTCCGTGCGTGGGCCGGTCATCCGGACAGGACAGAGTCTGGTCTCGCTACGCCTGGTCTTACACAGGGCAGTCTGTGCCGGATACAATCCACTTTTGGCAGCATGAAGTCGGGCGCATCATCCGTCGCTTCCGGCAGCACAGGAAATGACACACTCAGCTCGCGACCATCGCTCACCACGTCGCACTCCATGTCCGCCGGGCTGAGCTTGGGTGCGAGCCGGTCACGGACTGGCCAAGTACGGAAGCGCAAGAAGCGCGTCGTCGACCTCCGAAAACACAAGGATGGCGTCGACTCTGGCGTCAACACGGAAGCCAACACCCCGCTCGCGAGCGCCTATGCCTCCGAGACCTCGAGCGTCATCCACGAAGAGCCCGAGATGGAAGCCGAGCTCGCCACACCACCACGCACACCTGTCCGTCCAAGTCGGCATTTTGACGGCAAGCATGGGAGTCTCGATGTTGGCGCACCACGCAGTCCCACCGACTCACTCCTCCCCGCTGCACCCATAAGCTCCAAAGCGAAGCAGCACGAGACACCACAGCAATCTAGCTCTACACAAGTTGAAGACTTTGCTACACCTACACCTACAAAGTCATCGCGTCCCCGGCCCCCACTTTCACGCACTTCGCTCCGCCAAGCTCAGCAATCGACATCTCCCCTCCTCCGATCATTGAGCTTCGACAAAATCTCAGCAGTGTCGAGCCCACCACAAGAAGAAGCAAGTGGCAGTGGAGGCATTTTAGAGCAAGCGTGGATGATGAAAATGGCACAAGAAATCGCGAGAAAAGTACAAGAGGAGAAGGATAAAGCCGACAGGCGAAGAGAACGAGGGAGTAAGGGTGGGAAGAGCAGTAATGTGAACGGAGGCATTTGGGCTGGCGATGAAGATGTCGACGCGCCGCCTGCGTATGTTGCGTAGTTTAATTTGATGAATTGATGGGACATGAATTTATGACGACGGGCGCATTACGGTAATAGTCTTTGGGATTCGGAAACAAGGAAAAGCTTCGACGGAGGGTTGTTGTTGGTCGTATCGACTTGGAGTATCATTGGGGGTAGAATTGGATGGCTAGCGCTCGCTCGTGCGTGTACATATGGGGAAGGGAAGGGAAGGGATGGAATGGAATCTGGGCTTAGAGGTTAATACCCTACTTTATCGCTATCGCTACTTTTACAGCAAATTGAGAACATATCAAAAATAAATTCGCATGCCTCTAGGATGTTTTGATGTGGTTAAGACGCTTTGGTGCAACCCCTCAATGGGTACTCCATGCTGTTGGCTACGATACACTGCGTTTACAGTGTATGCACAGCTTGGCATACGCAATGGCCTGAAAACATACAGACCATCCCCTGCGAATACGATGGCAAGATCCTAGTCATCGTCTCTAAAAGCTGACGACCGCGGTGCTTGATCGAAGGCTACCACATCCGTCGGGCCGACAGTGGTGCATGCAGGTAACCCGACCATATGCGTAGCTCGGCCTATGTCGGCATGCCAAGTTTTTTTCGCCGATGGTGGAGTTAGGTACCTCTATGGTGACCTTTACTATACTTTTCTATATATCTATAACTCTTACTCTAAATCTAACCCTTACTCTAAATCTAACTCTAATCTCTAATTCTAACCCTAAATCTAACTCTAACCCTAATTATAACATGTTCTAAACCTATTCTTATAATGTTAAGATTCGTAATACGTTTAGAAAAGGTTTAGAATAGGTTTAGAACATGTTAAGATTAAGGTTAAAAAAGGCCTCTGGTTGGGTTAGTCAGGTTGACTTTAGGATGGTGGGCTTGGCATGCTGGTGGTCGGCTAATATTTTAGTATGGTCGGGTTGTCTGCAACCACCCGACAGTGTCTGTCTGCTTAACGGCGACTGCTCGCCAAAAGCCGATGATGAGCTTCTCCACTCACCAAAATGGATTCAAACGCCCCAACATCTCCCACGACTGGCGGTGCACCAAGCGTAGACAACGAAGCTTCAGCAACCAAGAGAACTCAGATCGCGTGTTTGAACTGTCGCAAGAGGAAGTCGCGATGTCTACTGTAAGTGAAGGCTTGCGCGGTGCTCGTGCTGCTTCGCGCGTGTCGGCAAACTTCATGCCCATGTCGTCACATGCGAGCGAACTCCACCAGAGCGG